TTAAAATTTGCACTCACCTATATCCCCTTGTCTTTACCTCGATCAATCCTACTTGTCAATTGTTCCGGAATTTGTTTAGACTCTGTATCTATATAAATATAATTTTTAAGAAAATTATCAGAAGCCTAATCCTTATACATCGATGTTATTAACTTAAATGAATTTAATAAACTCATATTCCTAATTTCCTTTAGGAGTGTACCGATACACTATGGGTGCATCGATACCCAAAATAGCTTCGAAATTTCCATGCATCGATGCACCTTCAAAATTTATCTTAGTGCATCGGTACACACTCTTAGTGCATCGATGCACCTACCCAGAATAGACTATTTCATCCGAAAATCATCAACACTTCACCCAAATTTTCATGTATGAAATCCTTATTATGCTACTAAATTCATCTATATCAACTTTAACCAATTCCTATCATTCCAACACCTTATAATCTTCCATATTTCATCCAAATTCTTAAGACTAAGAATCATACCAAATTTTCCATGTTATCCAAACTTTGATTTAACACTTATAACTTTCACACCTATGACAAGTCAAATTTTGTTTCAAATTCAACTTATCAACTCTATTCCAAAAACTCATTTAAAAACCCATTTTCTTTAATCTTTCATAACTTCTTCATCTTTTGATTATGAGATAACTTAAGCTTTCCTTAAGCTTAGTTATCATCTAATGATCAAAACTCAACCAAAAAATCAACAAATAATTAACTAACAAAGAAACTCACCTTTGAGCTTGGAGATACGGGAGGTGGAAGAAGAAGAAGAGAGTTTGTAGATAATTCTCCCCCCATCCCCACGTAATTTATTCTTATCTAGGGGGAAAATATATTTCCTTGTCAAATGACCATTTTTCTCTTTAATTCTTTTAATAATTACAAACAGCTTTCAGGAAATATCTCTACATAAATCATTGAGCTATTCAACTATTCTACTTTAATCACCAAATTCTGAAATTTTACAATTTAGTCACTAACACGTAGTTTGGGATGTTACATACCTTGTACGACACGATCGTTTTCATACGCCAGCACAATTTTTAGTTTGACAAACGTTCCCAGTATGTGTTTATTCATCAATTTTAGCAATGGCCGTAACTTTTTGTACAATTCTTCCCATTGGTCATACACTTTTTGTTAAGCATGATACCTAGCATACCATGTTTTATGGTAGTTAACTTTGTAGATGTATTGAGATGTAATTGCAACAATACAACTGGAAATTGTTATATGTGGATTTACTTTGACTAGTGGTATGAAGGCATCACAAAGCACGTGGACATCTAAGTTTGGATGATCCTGAGTGAGCCTGGTGGCGGTGCATGTATGAGGTTGGTCGTATTTTGTCAACTTTCATAGGTTGTTCATCCTATTCAAGCATGATACACGAACCCTCCAATTATATCACTCGAACTTGTGGACACATTCAGCCATGTACGTTACCGTGTCTATTTTTTTCACAGTCGATGTAACTGAGCGTCGTATAATATAGTTCTTAATGACAGCCATAGTGAGTTCTTTTGTTCTGGAAATCATTCTAATATAGAGCTCACCATCACCATGTTTGTTGTATTGATCAAGCCGTGGGAATTACAGAAAGTATGAAATGTTTAAAGGTTCTATCTTAACTATTGTGAAGTGGAATGGTGGTTGGTAATAAAAAACATGAGACACAACATCATTCGCTCCCTTCGGCATGTCAAGGTCCTCTTGTTCTTCATTGAAGGGCTCTACCTCGTCACCATCTGGGACGATCTCCCTTATCGATTATTCGTCAAAAATATCCCCTTAAACAAGAATAGTTCAACGTTGTCGACTACGAGAATAGAAGGAGTAGCAGTTATGCGTCGATCGTGAGACCGCTCACAAGAACAGTTACGAATCGTACTACCAAGATCAAAGTCGACAGCACCAATACAAGAATGTCTTCCCATAGATGCTGAGAAATCATCGAATGTGTTAAACCACTTCATGTTCTTGGAACCTTATTTCCAGCTGAGAATATGATGTATTCATGCCACTATTGTATAGATTGTACGTTGAAGGTAACAGATTCATGTCAAAGTCCAAGCTAGCGACGCAATAATGTCTTGACATCGAAAACGACGATGCACCCAAGTCATTGCCTCAAGCAGTAAACACTTAATAAGTTCATGTCATTACGTAAATTAGTTGTCAAACTATGAACATTAGGATCAAATTCAAAATCATTCTATCTCCAATATGAGACACCAGTAGTATCATTATCATATGATAAATTTGCATACAGCTCAAGTGGCCCTCCTAATAAATACTGCATGTGGAAATCGAGCATCATGTCCACATAACCATCATCCTCAACGTGTATATTGAGTAGGTTAGTGGTTCTAATGACGTGGGTAGTCGATACTTCAACAGTTCAAGTTTTTTTTTCGCGACCATATAGAACATTGTTATTGACTTTTTTCATTAACTTCTTGTAAGTTAATTTCTTCGATAATATTATCATCACAGTATGTGCGAAATTAAAGAGGATAACAAGATAATCATCACGCATCATTTTGCAATCATAGTATACCAAAGGAGTAACACTTCTTCTTGACATGTTTTGAAAATATATACGATCATGCAAAGAGAAATACAAAATATTCACGAAATTACAATACCTTCAACTATGTAATAATCGAGAAGCGTCAAATAAACTTACGAGTGAGCCTACTGATCACTTTGTGTGTATGGTTTGCTTGTTCACCTCAATTTACTTCAAATAAGGAATGGAATGAAAGTCTCGGTTTTCTAGTAGAATAGCTTCTTGATGAGATATGGAAGGGACATGGGCGACCTGCAGATAATATTCCTGGCGTTTCAATAAAGCTGCTGATCAGAATTATATTTTTCAGAACGTTTCGATGAAAAATTTCAGCATCATATCGTTGAATCAACTCGAGAATCACGAAATATATCTTGTTGCTAACAATCCTGAAGCATTATAGAGAAGGCATGTATAATTATTTTAGTGGAATAAATTTGAAGTTCGATCTACATTGTTTGAAGCAAGCAGCGGATAGAGGTAATATCAACGCCATATATGTCTATGGCCTTATTCTAATTTTTTCTGGAGGCTAATTAGGGGTTGAAAGACTTCAAATCGTGAGAGCTCTCGATCTCACAAAAATAAATTTAGAAGTTATTCGTCAATAGATGAATCCATTTTTATGGCTAATGATAACGCATCGTCACAACATTGTCTTCCTAGAACAAATCGAAGCTTGCAATTGTCCTACCGACTGTTCGCGTAATTCATACCACCATGGCAAAGATATTATAACAATCTATGTACACATTATGCTTCTTGTTTTTAGAACCATGAAGCAATTTTGTTTTGTAACATTTTATATAGAGGTTATGTTGACGATTAATATTGTTTATTTATAACAATCTAGTTTTTTATGTTATTTTATTAAATATTATGTAATAAAAATATTATGTTCAAATGTTATTTAATTCGAAAAGGAATACATACATCGTGCATTGGAAAACGTGAGATAGGTTAAATAACACTCGTGAAAAATTTCTCGGGACGTTTCAATATCTCAGGAATCTCGCGTTCTGTATAACGCAAGGTATTTAATACAAATATTAAATTATGTTATCTGAAAAGTGCATCCAAGTTGGACGAACATCGCACCTTGTGTAAAACGAAACTTTTCCTCGCTTTTCTTAGGACCATGTTAGTCTTATATGTGCAGTTTAAAGGTATTTTTTTAACAAATATGTTGAGGGTGGTTTTCAAAAAATGAAATTTTGAGGTTTTTTTATATAATAACGCCCATAAAAATGGGGGAAATGACACTGTCAAGTCATTCATCAACAAACGTCAAAATCCCAAGTCAACGTGGAATATGTTAAGTCGGTTGTAAAAATCTGGAATGGAATATCCCCATTGGTGGTAAGGTGTGATGGCAGCACGCGAAGAGGGACAACCAATGGAAAATACAAACGTTGAATTCATTGTTTATTAATATACTTCCCCCCCCAGATGGCACTGCCTCCTTCCTCCTCGTGTTGATTACCTATACGGACAACGCTGCCCCTTGATAGTTGACTTCAACCGTTCCTTCTCTCTTTAACTAACTTTTAAATTTTGAATAGAAAAGTCAGAATATAACACATCACACTGAAATTAAATAATGATTTGATTTTTTGGGCATAGTATTTTACAATGGATTACATGAAGATAGGACGAGTGAAGATGCCGTGAAGTTTTGAAAATGTCGTACTTAATATATAATATATTTTTAATTTATAATTACCATTATTTTAATATTTAAATTTATATTATTATACGATAAAAATATGATATTCAAAATTTAAATGCAAATCATGTTTTCTCAATTAAATATATTTAAGGAATGTTATAAAAAATATTATTTCTGTCTCATTAAATTTATCTACTGTTGACATTTTTTAGTTAATTTTTTTAGTTCGACTCATTATTATTTAAAATCTAGTATTGATAAAAATATGAATAAATATATTTTAAAAACTTCAAATCAAATAGTTTTCAAATATATATTTTATAAAATTTAGTTGTTTAAAATACTTAATTGGTCGCTTGATTTCAATTTTATTAATTGGTCGCTTGATTTCAATTAAATATTTTAAACAAACGACCCTCGAATCTGTTAGAACTGATTTCTTTTTTAATTTAACGGATATTTAATCTCTAATAATCTTAAATGTAATAAATTTAAAATAAAAAAAAAATCTCATAGAAAAAGCCGTATAGCAAATTTATAAATAAATTGGAAACGGAAAAGAAATAAACGAGGAATACAATTTGGGATTTTATTTATTTTAAACATGAGAGGGGCAAACCAGACAATTACTAAACAAACTACAAATCAAAGCCCAGACAGATACGGTTCGACTCAATGCTTTAGCCGATTGTATGTTTCATAGTAAAAGTCTAATCCCAAAAATCAATTCTCAGTCAAACAAATCTCTTCAAAAAAGCCACGACATTTCCATCCCTTTGCTTTGAAACTTATTTACGCGTCTTGTCGATCACAAGGAGCCTTCATTATTCGGAGCTTCGTCTATCAAAGTATTCCTTTTTCCTTCATCTTGCGATACAGAATTTTTTTTCTTTGGTATTTCTTCAAACTTGGGCAGTTTCTCCTCTGTTTAGCAGGTTTGTTATTATTGGTTTCGGAATTGTTTCATATCATCTTTGTTCTGGTTTTAGAATCGTATACTTGAAACGTATTTTTCCGTTTCCTTCTGCTTTGTTTCTGTTGATTGTCGAAGCTCGGTTGGTAAAAACCAATGGTTTTGATTGTTTATAATTATTTCTACAGATGAAAGAAAAAGGAATACTGATTTTAGCTTTTTTCGGGATTTTTGTTGGAAAATCATTAATTACAAAGTCCCCCCCCCCCAAGAGATCACACTAACAAACAGACTGAACTAATGATGGTTTTTCTTTTGCCCAGTTAAATTCTTTGCAGATATAAATTATAGAAAATCTAAGTGTTTGAAGAATAATGGGAGGTGTTTGTTCTGGTGGAACAAAAGAGCGTAATACAAAGCTTGAACGAAACACTACAAAAGGATTTTCAGGGAAGCTCAAGTTCAAAAGGAGCTTTGGTAAGCAAAAAGTGAATTCAGATTCACATTCCGATGCCAATGGCAGTGGTTTCGACAAAGTGCAACAGAGGCACGATTCTGGTGACTTGGGATTACAATTTTCCCTGGAATTGAAGCCATCAACGCCCTGCAGGATTTCTGCTTCCCTGGTATTGTTTGCTTTACACATTATTTCTGGTTGTAATGAGTTTCCAAGGTCGCCGATTCATGGACTGCAATGATGTCAATTTTGACCAAAAGAGATAAAATAAATGTTGGTTTACTTAATCCAAATTCATGTCAATCCATGGAATAGAAATATTCATGATGATCTGGTATTGGTCTACTGAATTGCCAGCTATTAAAGTTCTATTTATATTGTACTTTTATCTCTATGAATGCTTGTTTTCATAAAGAATAATGGCATTTATCTATTTTTCTTTCTGCAGGGTTCCCAGAGGAATTCATTTCTAGGAAGAGCTAGCATTGTAGGCCTGGAAAAGGCAATCGACGTTATCGATACATTTGGAAGTAGCATGTCAAATTTGAACGCTGGTACTGGCTTTGTTACCGGTCTGGCTTCAAGGGGGCATACTATATCTATATTGGCATTTGAAGTGGCTAACACAATAGCTAAAGGAGCCAATTTATTGCGGTCACTTTCAGACGAGAACATTCAGTTCCTGAAAAAGGAGGTCTTACAATCAGAAGGGGTGCAAAATCTAGTTTCTACAAACATGAAGGAGTTGCATAGTATTGCAGCAGCTGACAAGAGGTAGATTACTTTTAGAGAAAATGGTTGCCTTTCTCTATATATTAGTTCTCATTCTTTAATCTCTTTTTATAACACTCAATTCTTTGGCAACTCTAGGGAGGAATTGGATAGTTTTTCGCGTGAAGTAATCAGGTTCGGGGATTTATGTAAAGATCCACAATGGCACAACCTTGGCCGATATTTTTCAAGGTAAGGTTGCCAGGTAGTTCTCTTGGTAGCATTAGATTCAGTTTACAATGCTGATGTTTACTGATGGAGATACTGTCATTTCTGTCAGACTAGATGTAGAGACTTCACTTCATAAACAAGATAGAACTGATGCAGACCACACTATGCAAGAACTAACTTCTCTTGCTCAGCATACCTCTGTAAGTTTATCCTCCCTTAATTGTTTTCTTTGCCCCTCTATCTCTTATGTTTTCCCTCCTTCATACGTCAGGATTTTTGTTGTATGAACGGCATGGAATGCCATGATATATTCTAAACGAAAGGAACTTTAATTTTCTTTGCAATAAAGCTTAGCCACTTAAACTAAACCTTGAGAATTTCATTTTTAAGAATATATTTGCTCGTCCATGTGAATGATTTATAACTGTTTATTGGTTTCTGATTTTGATGGTTTCTTTACATATTAGGAATTGTACCATGAATTGAATGCTCAGGACAGATTTGATCAAGATGTTAGGCAAAAGCTGGAGGAATTGGAGTCCCTGAATCTCCCTAAAAAAGGTGCATGGACGATCCTTGAACATTGGCTTCTACTCTGATAGAGTGCTCCATTTACTTATCACTTCCGATATGGTGTCGCTATATGTTTCAGCATTTACTCAATTTAACTCTGGAAGAAACTTACTGTAGTTGAATTTCTCTTATTGACTCTTTCTAGTTGCTTGTTCCCAATTATTATTTCTGTGTATTTTATATCAGCTTGAGAGCTGCTAACCTGGACTAAAGCAATTTTATTAACTGGTCCTTTTTGAATTGCAGGAGAAAATCTCATGATTCTAAAAAGTGATTTAAAACAACAAAAGAAGCTTGTAAGGAGTTTGAAAAAGAAATCTCTTTGGTCTAGAACTTTGGAAGAGGTATATAACTGCTTGTTCACAACAATCAATTGTATAAAGATTTTGGCATTTCAATGAAGTAGTCTTTTACTCATACACCCTAATTTATACTGCTTTTTTAAATGCTGCTGAATGCTAATGGTTGATTTTTAAGACTGTCAACGCTCTCAATGGCTTGAAATATTGTGGAAGCTATTTTGTTCATGGAAAAAATTATTAACAGCTTTCAATTTGGCTTATGTACATGAAATAAATGTTTTTGTTGCCATAATCAACCATTATGTAACCCTTCTTGATTGTAAATTTTGTTACATTGCAGATCGTAGAGAAGTTTGTCGATCTTGTTACTTATATGCATCAAGCAATCTCTGATGCCTTTGGAGGTAATCATATATAGCCTCAACTCCTATCAAATTATTGTTGTAGGGAACCTTATTTGTTTCATTTGACTATGTCTTATCTATACAATTTTCAACTCATGGCAGACTCAGCATCAGTTGCAAAAGAGACTACTGAAAATAATAAAAAACTAGGCGTGGCTGGGCTTGCGTTACATTATGCTAATGTAATTCATCAGATTGACAAAATTGTGAGTCAATGTTCTTTTCCTCTTTTCTGCTTTATCATTTGCATGTTTGCCTAGCAGATTGGATTAAACTAAAGTTATATGTTATAGGTAGCTCGCCCGGCCTACCTTCCGCCTAATATCAGGGACACATTATACCGTGGATTGCCACCCAGTGTTAAGAAATCTCTAAGGTCACGATTACAGTCCACTGACACCAAGGAAGAGGTACCTTTTTCTCTAATAGACTTCGGTTTTCATTTCCTTAATCCATTGCTTTTATTCTTAAGCATCATATTTAACTTGAGGTAATTGCTTTTCGTTTTTCCCTGCAGCGCTCAGTTTCACAAGTTAAGGATGAGATGGAAAAGACACTACAGTGGCTTGTTCCAGTTGCCATGAACACAACCAAGTAGGTTAAACTACAATGATTGCAAAAACTTCTCTCTCTTTGATGCCCTTTCGTAAGTAAAGTCTTTTTTTTTACTTCCCCTTTTGATGCATTGTGCAACAGAGCACATCAAGGTTTTGGATGGGTTGGAGAATGGGCAAACACTGGGTTAGTCAAAGCTTCTCTATATCTCTCTTCGTACATAGTCGCATGCAATACTGGTCTGTGTAAACGTTCATCGACTTATTTTGGTATTACATCATAACAATGAGGTTTCATGGTTGTTCTTGTCTGACAGCAATGAATATGGAAGAAGTGGATCCACAAATAATACCCTGACACGCCTTCAGACACTGTACCACGCAAATAAACAGAAGACAGATGCATACATCCTTGAATTGGTGGCATGGCTTCATCAGTTGATCAGCTTAGCAAAACAAAGAGATTTTGAATTCAAGCCTAAGCCGGTTCGATCTCCGACCAGGAAAGGCTTCCTTTTCCACTCTAAGATGCAGCGATTTCTATCCCTCAAAGACCGAACTGAGCTCCACAGGATCGAACTTTGTGAAGAAGATAGAAACTTATTAAAAAAGGTGACTGCAAGGAGATTGATTCCAGGTGTTAGCAAAAGCCAGGAATTTCCTTTGGGGAGAAGCAAAAGGATCAAAGTTTGGGCTCTGAGTAGGAGTACTGGCAACTCTCCTGACAGGAGTTTTAGGGCAAGAAATTTACTGAAGCATGCTCAAACGAATAGACTGGATGTCATGGATGGTTTAGATCTAGCAACTTGAGAGTGACATTCACAAACTTTCAACCTAGCCTTTTGCCTATTTCTTAAGATTTTTCATGTGTCTGCTAACTCTTCCCATTCTATTGTATATATGATCTTGTGCTATTTTTTTTAGTGTGTTTATAGTCGGTAATAAATTGCAAAAAATGCACTTGTTCCTATTTCCTTAGCTTGATACAAGAAAGGTTTAGTATCATATGAAATAGTTAACTACTTAACTACTTTTGAATCGGTTAGGCTTGCTACTACAAAAATATTTTTTGAAGCTATGTTAAACAAATGTTAATAGAAAATTATAGTACGTTGACTTAAAATATTCTATCCCGAGCATATTATTAGTGACATGCGTTACAATCTAATTGGTGATTACATTTATTAAATTAAATTAAAATTAGAATTAAATTGATAGAATGCTTAAATATTAATGCTAAATATATAATAATACTAATTTTTTAACATTCACTTCACATTCTTCGGTAAATGTAAATCGTAAGTGGCATGATTGACAATGCTAAAATAATTAAATAATCCAATTGATAAAATTAAAAGATGAGTGATAAAAAAAAGTGACAATAGCTAGGTAGTTATAGGTATAAATTACCCATAATAATCTTATAAGATAATGTGGGGACAGATAATGATGAGAAGAGTGTTTTAAAAAATCGCTTTAATTGTAAAATTTAACTTATACCTTGGATTTAGTTTGATATTTAAACAAGTGAATTATAGGTCACTTAACTTATTTATGGGTGAGTGTTTGATCGAGTTAAGTTAAATATTTTGAGTTATTTAAAAGTTGACGAGTCTTATTTTATAAATCGAACTTTATTTGAAATGTTTTTCACTCGGGTCAAATTTAAAAAGTTCAATTCGAGTTGATTTGTTCGAGTTTATATTTAAATTTAATTATAAATATTTATAATATTATTATACTATTTGATTCTAATTTAAATATTTTTTATAACAATGTACAATACATATACATTTATCCATATTTTTTTTATATGTGATGTACATATATCATACAGAGTCGATGGATTTGACTCAAACTTGAAAACTAATATACTAATTAATAAAAATTTTGAATTATTCAAGTTCTATTTTGTAACTCGACTTGAATTTAAAATTTTGAGAGTCGATTCGAATCAAGTTTATGAAATTAAAAATCGAAATAAATTTGAGTCAAATTCTTTTTTATTTGATTCAAATTGAAAAAAAAATTAATCGAGTCGAATTTTATTCACCTACTAAATAGTGGTTAAGGGTAAGTCCATATAATTCACAATGGGCTTCATAAATATCTAACCTAAATGCTAACGGGCTTCATAAAATTGAGTGGTTCGCATTTGGAATCAGTAATAAATTTTTGGAGTCTCCCACAAACGATTAAGGCCTCTTTGACCACAAATCCATCTCCCAATAATCTAAACGACAATCCTTTCCAACCATAGACACTAAACTGCCACTGATTTCTCCACCTCTCTCATCCAACCAATCTGTAATCCTCTCCCAGATTTTTATCTCTCTTTTTGATCTCTTGTTCGTTCTTTTTTTTTCTTTTCGGTGCTAGTAAACAATGGCAATGACTGTAAATGCAGCTGTATCTCTCCCATCTTCCAAGTCATATTCTCTTTCATTTAAAAACTCAATCACTATACCTGAAAGACTCAACTTCAACAAGGTATGATTTCTTTAAGACGAAAGCATTTTTGCATTGACCACTTACTCTGATACTCATAAGTCTTAATTTCTTCTCCAGAGTATTTTGTACCCAAAGAATGTCAGTGTTGGTGGAAATGTGATTTCCATTAGAGCTCAGGTCACTACAGAAGCTCCTGCAAAAGCAGAAAAGATTTCCAAGAAAGATGATGAAGGTATCGTTGTTAACAAGTTCAAGCCAAAGGAACCCTACGTCGGAAAGTGCCTACTCAACACCAAAATCACCGGAGATGATGCTCCTGGAGAGACTTGGCACATGGTTTTCAGTACTGAAGGTGTGAAATTTTGACGATTTAGAAGCTTGTTTTAAACATTTGAAGACTTGGCACAAGCATTTTTTATCTTTTGAAGTTGGATGACACAGGGGAAGTACCATACAGAGAAGGACAGTCCATTGGTGTCCTTGCTGACGGTCTGGACAAGAACGGGAAACCCCACAAACTTCGATTGTACTCTATTGCTAGCAGTGCTTTGGGAGACTTCGGCAATTCTCAAACCGTAAGGATCTTATTCCTTCGGATAAGGACATAATGTTACGTACTTTTTAAGGTTTAAATTTGTTTATTCAGACTGATATCTAATCTGATCCCGCAGGTCTCCTTGTGTGTCAAAAGGCTTGTCTATACCAACGAACAAGGAGAGATAGTGAAAGGAGTTTGCTCAAATTTCTTGTGTAAGAATCTTAAAGTTCATTCTTTTTCAGTTTCCTATATACACATAAGTGGAAGTGTCAAGAAAGCCCCCACTTGGATTAATCTTGAACAAATATAAAAGAGACCACCTAGGATAGTAATCTGACTAATGATCTTCATCAACTGCTGATTGTTTAATATGCAGCATATTGGCTTCTTAGCACATGATCAACTTTGTCCCCTCTAACCATAAGAAATCATTTACTGGTTCAAGTTGAGGCATGACAAATAATTGTAATCTTTCCAGATTTCTTGTTGATACCTTTGTTATTGAAGCTTATGCAGCCTTGGGGGGAAAATCAGATTTAATTTAACACAAGCAACAGCAGTAGACATTTCCATTTTTTAATGAAAGCATTGGGGGAGTGTTTTTACATCATTTATGAGTTGTGATTGTCTCATTCAGGTGATTTGAAGCCTGGTGCTGACGTAAAGATCACGGGACCTGTTGGGAAAGAGATGCTTATGCCAAAAGATCCAAATGCCACCATCATAATGGTACCACCTACATTATATCAGCTCTTTCAAGAGTATCATATATAGAAAAAGACATGTTAGGTTAACCGTTGACCATTTGTATGTGCATTTAGTAACACAGTTATGCCTGGTTTCCTTGTTGCAGCTTGCAACTGGAACTGGAATTGCGCCTTTCCGTTCATTCTTATGGAAGATGTTCTTTGAAAAGCACGACGACTACAAGGTAGGTCTGATATCGAAATCTTTCGGAAAAGTTTAGTCAGTTATGGAAAGTACTTGACCTGTGGCATGAAATGCAGTTCAATGGATTGGCTTGGCTCTTCTTGGGTGTTCCCACCAGTAGCTCACTACTCTACCCAGAGGCAAGCTCTCGTAACTTTTTACCAGATTCTCTGTCTTGGTACATTGGCTTAAAAATGATAGTTTGAACCCAGGAGTTTGAGAAGATGAAGGAAAAGGAACCAAACAACTTCAGGGTGGATTATGCCATAAGCAGGGAACAAACAAATGAAAAGGGAGAGAAGATGTATATTCAAACACGAATGGCCCAATATGCTGAAGAGCTTTGGGGATTGCTCAAAAAAGACAACACCTATATCTACATGTGCGGGCTCAAGGGAATGGAAAAGGGAATCGATGATATCATGACTTCTTTGGCTGCCAAAGATGGTAATTTACTTCAACATTTGCACTACAATATGATTCCGGGCCAGCTTCTAACTTTTACTTGTTTCAGGCATTGACTGGATTGAATACAAGAGAGATTTGAAGAAAGCAGAACAATGGAACGTTGAAGTGTACTGATCTTGACTGGCTGCGTTATATTTGCCATACGGTCATTTCATCCCTTCTCTTCCTTTTTTCTAACTTGTTTGTTGTGCAAGTTGAATTGTCAATTCAACTAAAAAATTATTGCCTCAAAACAAGTTGTATAGTGCAAATTTGAAGGAGATGACTCATAAATTTCTTTCCCAATTGTTGTCTTTTTTAATGGGTAAACTAAACAAACGGTCACTAATATTTGAGTAAGTTTTTGTTTTTTCTACTGAAATTTTAAAAGTTATAAATTAATCACTAACGTTATGATTTATAACAAATCTATTAGACGTTAACGACCGTTACCGTACGTGATGGAAAGATGACGTGGCACGTTAAATCAGCAACCTGGCGTTGTTTTGTTTTGCCATATTAGACAGCCACACGTGCCGTTTGACTCCCAAAACTTTTGACTGTTAAAAAAGTTGAAGAAAAATTTTTCTTTTTCTGTTCTTCATCAAGCTCACTCTTCATTTTTATCCCCGTCTAAAGTCTTTCTCTTTCGTTGTTCTGCCACTGTCTCAACCTTCTACAGCCCATCTCCACCGTTCGGGTAATATAATTTTGACAGTAAATATTATATTTTGTTCTCTCTTTTTAACAGACAAGTTTCCTTTTTTCACAAGCGAAACTGCAAAATGGGATGTTACAAAAAATACACAAGTTAAAAGCATAATCTTTACGTGGGTTTTACTTTTGAGATTTTCCCCACTAAAAGGGAAGAACACAAGGCTATATGTTTCCTTTTTCAACTTTCTTTGCGGTCACACGATGGATTGGAGAGTGTATTTTTCCATTGCTCCATGCCAAGAATGCATCACCAGACATGACGAGGAACGCCGATCCAATCACCATCCTTTGTTTTTACCTGCAGACCTTCAACTTCGTTATCGTGAAGAATGGTCATGAAGCTCTTTTTAGTGTGATCGGGATATGCATCTATCTCATGTTCATCTTCATGTTATCATCATCCACATAATCAGCTTCTCCTTTCCTGTATACTACCATTTCAAAAACTTCAGACGCCGTCTTCTTTTTTGTTGCTTTAAGGCCATAGTAAGTAGTAACCTTGTAACGAGTTCATCGTCTTCTTTTCTTAGCGGGGCAAAAGGAAGGAATAACAAAGGGAGGGAAAGAAATAAGTATAATAATTCATCTCACTTTACACACATGATAAGAATTCTTATCATCATTTTTTCAATAGTGTACTTTTTGTCATCTAAAAGAGCAGGTTGCATTGAGATGCCCTCTGTCTTTGACTCATGCATGAACTTTATACTTTGTTCTACAGCAGCTGTAAGAGTTAATATATCGTTAGGTAAACGAACATTAACAGCAAAGCTCACAAGCAAAGCAAGATGATCACGTTCGGCTCCCATGGATTCAATAGCCTCCACGCATTGCGCATCTATTAATGTTGCTGCTGATTCCACGACCATGCCGGTCTTTGATTTCTTCTTTCTTTTTCTCTTTCATTTCCTTTAACCATCTCCCTACTGACTTTGTCCTAGTGGGTGTATTCACGCCATTGATAGCACTTGTGCGACATCCACCATTGAATAAAGGTTGTATGGAGCTTTAAGGAGATGGTGATTGTTGATATTGGTGGTAGTATGGTGTTGATTTTCCATCAGTCTTGATTGTTTTTGGCTATCAACTGTTGCACCGATGAACTCTGCAACACTCTTCGGTTAATGGTGGAGAAGAACGGATGAGAATAAAGCTTTTTTCTTCAACTTTTTTAGGGTGAGTTTGGTTCACGGAATGTAAGATTATCAATGGGAATAAAAGATTACAAGGGAATAGGATTACTGGGAATGTTGAATTTTGTGTTTGGTTGGCTTAGCAGGAATGTAAGATTATTGTGTTTGGTTAAAGGAATAAAATATTATTGGAATGTATATTTGACCAAATTGTCCTTATTATATATTTGTATAATATTACAAATTGTAAAATATTTATATATTTTCTTTAAAAAATTAAATTCATAATATTTATATAATTTTTTTACAAAATTAAAAATATAAAAAAATGTTTAATGAAAGGGTAAATTTTTTTTTAACACCTGAACTTCATATAGAATTTTAATTATAGATTTTTTTTTGTAAATCTAAAATAATTTAAGGATAAATTTGTAATTTAACCTTCGTAGAATTTTTATTATTCAACAGAAGAATGATATTTTTGGAAAAAAATAAAAATTTAAGGGTATTTTAGTCCAAAACATCGGTAATGTTACAATATTTAAGGGAAGTGAGGTAATGACATTCCCAGTAATATACCCAAAAAAATCTACTACTAGTAATAAAACATTACTGGAAATGAGATTCTCGGCCAACCAAACATGGGAATGTAGGATTCCCATCCCATGGGAATCCCACAATCCTTGAACCAAACACCCCCCTTAATGATCAAAATTGGGAGTCAAATTACGGGTATGTGTGGCTTTCTAATGTGGCAAAACAGTGCTAGGTTACTGATTTAACACTTCATGTCAACTTTCCGTCATTCAAGCAATGGCTGTTAACGTCGAGTTACTGATTCTTTATAAATTGATAACGTAAGTAATCAATTTGTAACTTTTGAAACTTCAGTGAGGAAAACACGAAAACTTATTTAAACATTAATGACCGTCTATATAGTTTACCCTTTTTTAATTTATATGTTACCACGGTGAGGCAAAATTGGCCCAACAGGTCCGGGGTGAAAAAATTAACCTATTAGACTATCTTGAAAATTAATTTGAGATCTACGTCAAATGTTAAAGTGCATGATAAAACTCATTACGTCGAAGTGACGAGTACTAATGAAATATATTTTTTTATTAAATTTTGTCGTGTCAGAGTAAAAATTTATAATAAAAAATATAGTTTATTAGAACTCTTCACTTCAATGTGATAAGCTCCAAATCATTATAGTAAATACAGTAGATCTTAAAATAAAAAAATCTGATGTAGTATTAGGCTAAATAATTAGTCGGGCTATAGTATTGGGCTAAAGTTACCCCCACAGTGATCCTAAACAAAACAAGCCCCACATCTAAAAGCACTAAATGGGTTTAAGCCCACTATGCGAGTAGAAACTGTTTCTAGATTCGAAAAATATTATCTTGAAAAACAAGTGTTTTGAAAAATCAAAGTTGTCATCGATGGTCTTGACTTAGTCAAAAATAAATACTCATTAAACCATTGTTTAAATTTCTTAAGGTTCTCTTAGAAAAATATGATTTTAAAATCATATATAAATTAAGGTTCGTTTGTCCATTACCTCGTTTTAATTCTCTCACCGGGACTGGCTTTTGCATGCAGCTGATGTGATTTGAAAGAGTTGCTTAAATATTCTTATCAACACTCACCAACTCCCATTGTTGGAATATTACGAATACTATGATGGCATCTCTTTTGAGTGCTCCTAATCTTCCCAAATAAAATTATAATATGATTTCAGCATATGACAGAAACATCCCATAAACGTCGACTTGCATTTAATACCTTACTGTTCCGACTAATTCATACCCGAAAAACCAACACCAATGATTTACACCTTCCTCGTGCTTCTACTCTTGGAACTCGAATCTCTTGATGACCCTTTTCTTTTGTTATCCAATATCAGCGATTCCCATGATCGAGCTGTCGTGTTTGTGTGTTGATAGTTAACAAAAAGTATTGATGGTTTTCTACGATGAGAATTTAACTATTTACCGAGGCCTGAACCGGTTTAGATTAATGATAGAGGGTAAATTAAAAATTTGATAACTGCATTTTACTCTCTCTCTTATTTTACACATTGAATTTTGGATTTTTTTTAATTTCATCAATGTACTTAATACATCAGGATTTTTTGGTTACTTGACCATTAAATGTTAAAATAGGTTATTGTATAAATGCAAAATGACACCGTTTTGATAAAAATTTTGTTTTTTTAAAACGGCATCTTTTTTAACTTCGTTAATTATTTAACGACAGAGTGATCAAAATACGAGATAATAAAGTTCAGTGATAAAAAAATCTAATATATTAAGCTCAGTGAGAAAATTGAAGTTCGGTGAGTAAAACAGGAGAGAAATAAAGTTTAGTGATGAAATTTGTAATTTACCCTAATGATAGATTACAACTGTTCACTGATGATCGTTGCGGTAATCAAAATGTCATTTTCGTTGCTGAGTGATGAATGTTATCCAATAAGCCAGCTGTTGAACACTTGTTGACATTAATTAAGAAAAAGAACGATGAGTGCTTTATATACTGTATTAATTTCACCCACTTAATTCGCGGTCCAAAATTTAATGAAGGATGATTATCTTGCTAACATTTATGCATACAGTTAATATTGTATAACATAATGTATAATGTATTTAGTTAAATGCTTAACTGAACAAATTTGTGTTGAACCAAACACCTTTCTTCTCTTTCTTAGGTAAGAATAAGATTAAATTTAAAATTTCTTAAAAAAATAAAATAAAAAAGTGTTGAAGTTATATTTTAGTTGTTGAATTTTTTTTATCAAATATTGTAAGAATTTCACATAATTATAATTTTAAAATTGAATCATTACTGTTAGTCAAAAAAAAGTCTTCACCTAATTAATTGTTTAACATGTATAAATTTTAATTATTTTTTCCCCTCAGCATAAGACTCTTAAAATCCTTAATTTTAAAAAATTATTAAAATCTCTAATTTTTCAAAAATATGACTTAAAATTCTTCAAATATTTAAATATGTTATACATTCATTAAGACACAATTCTTTTAAATGAAGTTAACAATTTAATATTTAAATAATAACAAAAAAAATTAAACAGATATTTTGATTAAAAAATTGAATATTTAAATAAAAAATATAATTTATTCACCTATTATTCCTTTTTTTGGAATAAATATGAGGTGTATGTAATATAATATATATTCAAAGACTCTCGATCATTTAACAATATGTTTTCAACCTCTGTATGTTTGAACCAAAAAGATAACTACAAATCCCTCACCTTAGTTAGTGCTTAGTTTGTTATTTAAATGTCAACTATTGCCTACAATGTTCTTTTTTAATTTTCTACCAAATACAAAGAAGAGTAGTATTTGGATTCTAACTCTATCGCTAATCACTATCATTTGACTTAAACCTCTTATCTAATTCTCTTGTATCCTAGTCATAACAGAATTTCATAAAGAACACAGATTCAGTGAATATCTCCTAAAATATTAATGATTTAGAAGTGGGGAAAATATGATGATGTCATCCAGTCATGTTAATTTTAGCACATTGGTGTCTTTGTTTGTTCGTATTTTATTTAAAAAAATTACGCATTAATATGAGAATAATACAGAAAACTAATAATAAATAAATGTCATTACAAAAATTAAAGAGATAAACGAGTTTATTATCTTAAGTTTGTTGACCGAAGAAATAATCTGAGATGAAATTTAAATATAAGAAAATTAAAAGAAAGAAATTAAATTTATTTAAAATAAAAGGAAACAAAAGAAATATAAAATACTTTTTGATTTTGATCTTCAAATCAGAAACAATTGAGACATGTCGCTACATAATTTTCTTAAGACATTTTCGACAACTCCTTTGGTTCTGAAGTTCGTTGGTTGTCTGTCTCTCAGGATACAACAACTTATGATCAACTATAATAACACAACAATAGAGATCACGAACTATCATTACCTTAAATTATAAGATATGAAAAACTTGTGAAACTTGAAATTTGTGTTTAACCTAACAAGTTAACACAATAATAGAGATCACTAATTATTTCAGCGACAACGACCACACCAAATAACATAAAAACTTATGAATTCCGACCGTATCTTAGTCTTCAAAGCTGGCGTGCGCAGTTTGCTAACTGCAAAATTCCAGCACAAATCTTGTTGTCTGGTCGTCTAAGCCGACGGCTGCGCCTGAAAATCTCAGAGTTCAGAACAACTTGTTATGTTCACTCCAAGGGGAAATTTCAGCATTTAAGGTTTGAGAAATGAGATATTTTAATTGAGATATTTTGAAATCAAAGATCTTCTTAAGCTGTTGTTTTCATGTCAGACCATTTGTGTTTCCCTAACATAATTATTTGAAGGGTATCGTTCTTCACTGAATTTTACTCTCTTTCTTATTTACTCTCTGAACTTTAAATTTTTTCAATTTACTTACTGAACTTTACCTATTGAATTATTTTACTCATTCTACCGTCATTCTTCTAACGGTGTTATGACGTAGATAAAATAAATGAAATTTTAAGACAAATAAAAAAATAATAAAAATACCAGAGTTTATGAGGAAATGTGCGAAATCGATGCTTCCCTTGGGGTTGAACTAGTTTGCTGACAAACAGAGAGAGTTTCATCTTAAAACCTTGCAAAAGTTTACAAAGTAGCATGTAGTCAGAACACAACCATTTGAAAAATCTAGTTGGAAATGAATAGCTATATTTATCATATAAAGAGCACGCAACAAAGAAAATTTTCATGGACAATCATACCTTTTATTGGCAAATATACGACGACCAAAGCAAGTGACCTGAAAGAAAAAGAAACAAACTTTACTTTCGGGTTCTCGATAGTGGTGACTCCGGTGGTCAGATGACGAATTCTAACGGTGAGGAGCACACGGGTGATGAGACTTACATATCTTCATTTGAGCTTTATTCGATGGTGAACGGCAGAAATCGGGAGAAGATAAATCAAAAGGTCTACCGCTACCCGTGGAGAGTTTGGGGCTTTTTCCAACCATACTATCAACATTTTTAACTATTTTCGAAAGGCTGATGGGGTGTGGTGGCTACCGGCATCGGCATGGTTAGTCCTCCTCAAAAGGCTATTGGGTATAGTCGGTGACCTTTGGTCATGGGGTTGGGTATGGCTAGCCTTCAAGGGAGGGATTAAACCTTTCATTATTTTTTGAACAGTCTTTTATCAATTAAAAAGTATTTATTTTTTCCATGTCATAACACCGTTAGAAAATTAAAGGTGGAGTGAGCAAAATAATTCAATCTGTAAAGTTCAATAAGTAAATTGAAAAAATGAAAGTTCAGTAAACAAAATAAGAAAGAGAGTAAAATTCGATGAAAAACGATATAATTTACCCTTATTTTGAAATTGACCCCTTCATGGTTCAACCAGTAAACGGCTCCCTGCTTTAATATGAAAATATAGTTCACGAATTAGATAGAATTAGATTAGGTCGATATTTTAACATATTTGTTTTATATCTGATTCAGCATATTATATTTATAAATTAAATTGTCTTTAAAAATAAAAAAAATTGATTATTTAAAATAAATGTGAAGATCTGAAACAAATTAAGGTATTGTTTCAAATTCTTGTTGCCAAGCCTTTTTTTTTCTTGTTTACTAAATACGAAAACCGTTCTAAGATGGTTAATGAAGGGGCAAACCAAATGAAGAAACAAGGAATGTAGCAAGCCGCATTTGGATTGGCGTTCTGCATCATCCTTGCCAATTATTTGGTTCTTTGCATAAATTTTTTTTGACCATTATGGAATAATCGAAAATTGATCTACATAGAGTTATTAATTTATTAAACAGCAGCAGAAAAGGAACTTGTTTCAGCATATTAACGTTATTTTTATTTCAATCCAATATTTGCATGTATCCACAGAATTTTGCTTCACATGCTAAAAAGCAAAAAATAGAAAAGAGAGGAAGGAAATAAATTCCCAACTAAACGCTGCAACTCATCTTCCCAATTGGTTGGGTGGATCACATAGCAACTTTCTTAGTTGGGCCCGCAGTCATCTTTCTGACTGTGTCTGACGTTCGTTTTTATAGCTCATCCTTCTATAAATACCCAATCTGTTTCGCCACTGCAGAACTCACACTTCCCCAACCACCATCTCCAAAGAAGAAGAAAAGTGCTGGATTTTGGCCATCCCCCAAGCTTACTCTTCTTCTTTCGCATTATAGAGAGAGCTCTTCTCGCAAACTTCATGGCCCAGCTTACATTTTTTGTTTCCATTTGTGTTCTTATTCTATCACATTCATTCATATCAGGTACTGATGGCGAACCACTGAATCATATTTTATTAATTCTAAAGTTAGTTTTTGGGGTTTGGAATCAAGATTGGGTTTGAACTGATTTTCATTGCATTTTAAACAGGATTGCAAGCAACAACTTTTACCATAGTAAACAAATGCGAGTATGTTGTATGGCCTGGAATTCTCACAAACGCAGGTGTTCCATCACTTCCCACGACAGGTTTCACTCTCCAAAGAGGTGAAACCAAGACCATCACCGCACCGACATCATGGGGTGGTCGTTTCTGGGGCAGAACCCATTGCTCCCAAGATTCCACCGGTAAATTTTCATGTTTGACCGGGGATTGTGGCTCCGACAAGCTCGAATGCTCAGGAAATGGCGCTGCTCCACCTGCCACTTTGGCTGAATTTACTTTAGATGGTGCTGGTGGTCTCGATTTTTTTGATGTGAGTTTGGTGGATGGTTACAACATCCCTATGTTGGTAGTTCCTCGGGGTGGCACAGGGCCGAATTGTACCTACACGGGCTGCCCCGTGGATATGAATGACTCGTGTCCTTCAGATCTCAAGGTGATGAGCACAGACGGCGGAGGTGGAGTCGCTTGCAAGAGCGCTTGCGAGGCCTTCGGTCAGCCTCAGTACTGTTGCAGCGGCGCGTATGCAACACCTGATACTTGCCAGCCTTCTTCGTACTCAAAGGTCTTTAAGACGGCTTGCCCACTCGCCTACAGCTACGCCTACGATGATAAAACCAGTACCTTCACATGTGCCAATGCTGATTACACAATTACCTTTTGCCCTTCGCCTAACACCAGGTAAATTTTACTTTACCAACCTTTCTTAACTTTTTGGTTTTGCACTTTTAATGTCAATGGTGTAATAGTAATTTTCATCATGAGAAAAACGTTCTGTCGACAAAAGCCGTTAATAATAAATGTAAACGTTAGCCTTCATTTGCCATCGTATATCTTCTTATGTCGGCTGCACCACATTTAAAATTTACCTACTGAGATGGCTTTTACAGTAAAAACATTGTCAAGGCTCGCTGTGTCGCTGCCTCCTTGATATGCTAGGTAGAGTGGTCGGGCATTGGTCATTTTAGGCGTTGTAGCTGAAATATAAATTGTGGGTTGTCACTTGTCACGACATGAATTGAATTTCGATGCATCTCCCGGAAGGCAATTATATTGCCGACGTATTTTATTATAACCGGTAGGCATTGCTTTTTGATACCGAACCCGCAAATTGGGGCCAATTGTGCTCTGCCAGACTGAACAGTGAACGCCCATCAAAATTCTATTACTGTTGTTGACGTGATAATACTCGTAACATAAATGCTTCCAGTCCCAAGGAAACACGTTTAATGTGAGCTGGAGACTGGAGTTCAATTTTATGTTTGTTTTTTAATGTCCAGGAGTTCTAACGTTTTGTTTTGGTACGTAAAATTTGCAGCCAGAAATCATCAAAAGGGCAGAACGAGGAACCAACGTCTCCTCTTGAAAACAGCACAATGGAATACGAAGGTGCCTTGGACGAAAGTGCAGCATCGCGGTCCTCGTGCACCAACGTTATTATCGGCATCGCAATGGTTATGGCGTTTTGGTGGTCATGGCAACTCTTCTAATTTGTCCACCGACTTCATTTGTAGGATAGCATATATACCATATAGGACCGTAAACTTAGGAAATAGATTTTAGCAATGAGAACCGCATCAAAATTTGGGCCATTTGGTTGGTTGGGCAGGAGGGACACTTGGTCAAAGTCTAGAATTTTTATAATGTATTATAAGGTTTAATTATTTAAAATATTTATTGTTATGGTTTCAATTTTTCTCTAATATTTATTATAGGTGTCTATTTTTATAATTTATTTCTTTTTAAAATTTATATAAATGTCCAATTTTTTTTAATATTTGTTATTAGAGATCCATTTTTTTCAATACTTATTATTATGAAGCTACACTTAAAATTTATTTTTTTCAGCATTTATTTTTATGAACAATTATTTAAATAAAAGTATGTAATCAAATGACTGTTATGCAATGATAACAACATCGTGAAAAATTACGATATCAACAATCGTTATATCCACAATAGTATATGTTATAAAAAAAATCCACAATCATGATGCCTGTAGTGACCACAATATCATTTTTTTATGTTTACAATAACGATAAACATAACGAAATCGAATACATAAATGTAAATTGTAATTTAAACCTCTTAATATAATTTTTTAGTTCGTCAGCCACCAAAATCTCATAAACTCATAAACGGGCTGGATATATCGGCTTTGTGACCCCTGTCGGTCCCATGGTGCTTGGTCAACAGTTATGTGGAATAGAGTCAAGACCTAAAAGCTCGCCCGTCAATTGAATTGGAGTTGTTTCCCTAGCAACTTGCCTTTTCAACATGCAACAAGTGGGTGGGGATGAAGGGCCTAATGCACGAAAGGGCGGCTTTTGTTTTATTTTAAAGGGGTTTTTTAGGTTGAATTTAATTTATATTATAAGGATGGGATTCTTTTGATTGTTAATGTCATGGAATGTATGAATTATATTAATATTAGATAAAATAACTTTAGAAGATCGAAAATGCCTTATAATATATGATTTTAACCAAATTTTTTGGATTTGCGAAAATGACCAACAAATTCGCAACGCGAACTCCAATTTCGCAATACAGTTTCCAAATTCGCAACATGGTCTTCCAAATTCGCAACACGAATTTATAATTCGCAAAACAAAAGTCGAATTCGCAAAGTGTGTTTATTTTCGCAACGTGAATTTTATTTTCGAATTCGAAACACATTATTAATTTCGCAACACAAATGTAAATAGTATAATCGCAACTTATAACCTAAAACCCAAAATCACAACTCAGTCACATCTCCATATCTCACTCTCTACGGCGACTTCCGTCCCCATCTCCGATGAAATTCATCCCCATCTCCGGCGAAATCTGTCCCCATCTCCGACGAAATCTATCTATCTCCATCTCTCAGAGCCACCCTCACAACCATTCACGGACAACCATTCACGGCCACAAATGGAAAATCAAACACCGAGGGTTAGTTTTTTTAATTATTTTTATTTTGAAATTTTTGTATTATTATTAGATTTTTCATATTTAAATTTATGATAAATTTACTGGTAATTTCAATATATATATTAACAATTTCACTTAGATTGCTTAGTACATTTATTCGGTTGCTGCTAATACAGCTAAACTGTTTAGTCTTTAACCCTGTGAAGTTGATATTTGTCTTTGTTTTGTCTTTTGGTTGAAGTAATGCAATTCATTTAAGTTTCAATTTGTAGAAGAATAGTTTTTGAAACTTAAATTCGCAACACGAAAATGAAATTCGCAACACGAAAATGAAATTCGCAACACGAAAATCGCAATGGGATTTTAGTTTCGCGTTGCGATTTTCATTTTCGCGTTACGAATTTAAGTTTCAGAAAATACTCTTCTTCTGCAAATTGAAACTTGAATGATTTGCATTACTTCAACCAAAAAACTATGATAGAATAATGACTTTGGTGAATACCGTGCTAGTTTGAAACATATTTGGCTTTGTTTTCACTGTTTAATATCATGTCTGTTTATAGTGTATGATTTGTAGTTTTTGGTATATCTAAATTGGTATGTTTATTGTTTTTGTTAGAAATTTTTTTCGGCTTCATTGACTCTAAGGAAAAAAATTAAGCCTAGCCACTACAATAGCGTCGACACTTACACCTGTATACAGAAAATTGTTTGAGTATACTTGCTTTAGGCCATGGCTGAAAGTACAACATCCAGGTGGAGATGCTTTGTTGACCTATTTGTTTCTTCAGACCATGACTAACGATCTACCCGAGAGGATATAACGTGGTGATGAAGATATATGGTTTCATTTTCCACCGACGTATACTTGTTTTGGACATGAGGATTTTTGCTTAATCACTCGTCTACGTTTCGGACACGATGAAGTAGGTCGGTACACTAGTCATATCGCCCGCCCATCATTGTTATCTCGGGTTTTTCTTGAGCTGGCAAAGGCGAAGCCCAGTTTACACGTTAACGACTTGAAAATATTACTTCTTAAAGATGGTTTTACTCAGATGGATGACCTTGATGTTGCCCGAGTATTCATTTTATTACTTTTGAATGCCGGCTTTTTAGGCAAAAAGGCCAGACAACCTATTTCTGAGGACCTGATACTATTGGTAGAGGACCTAAATGCATGGAACACGTTTCCCTGGGGTTCATATCTATGGAAAGCTACATGGAAAAGTTGTCGTATGCCTTTGAGAACCGTAGTCGTTTTCGTGGCGATGGTTCCAAATACACTTTGGTAGGCTTTATTTGGGCTTTTAAGCTAAGAATTTCTATATAATGTTTCCAAAATTATAATTAATTATTTAACAATTACTAATGTTTGTGTATTATATTGTTTGTAGATTTGGATATTTGAGGCTTTTCCCAGCATGCGGACATATGCAAGAAAAAATTCAAATGATATTCCTAGGGTTATTACCTGGAGGAGGATCCGACTGTTGGATTGGGAAGATTTATTACCATATACGACGATGAATGATGTAAGTTAACACAAATACTACCATATATAAACAAGTTATTACCAGTAGACGTTTAACTTTGTTTGAGCTTTTATATTGTTAGGAGGCCAACTATCCATTACAGAGGCTGACACCCACAGAGGTTGAGCTTGCCACTGATTGGTGGCAAGCTAGTAAGCGTTTTTTGATGAGATGGATGATGAGCACCCCCCACTTCGAGAGCCATCACCTGATCGAGTCGATTCTACAGTTCGACACCCAAAGTCATCACCTGATCGAGCTGATTATACACCTCCACAACGAGAGCCATCACCTATTCCATCACATCATCGAGCCTCTTTTCCACCATCACCTCATGATAGGCGACCGGCAAAGATGCCACGACATTTATCTCATTGTTCTCCACCTCCATGGGATGAGTTAGGGGTGTTACGTGATGAGATCAGTGCTTTGCGTGATGAGGTCAGTACTTTACGTCACGATAATGGCACATGGCACGATGAGGTACGATCTTTACGTAGTGAGGTAGATGTTTTACGCGACGACAATGGCGTTTTACGTGGTGAGGTATCTACTTTACGTGATGAGATAGCCGCTCTACGTGTGATTGTTTTATCGTTGTAGAATGAGGTTCATACTCTACGCAATAAGGTAAGTTTGTTTAATACTATACTAAAAATGCAAATAACCTTTTTTCAGTATTATTTAATTATTTATTTATTGATTTATGTATTAATTTATTTTTAGTGACCCGATAAGGTAGATTTTTTACGTTGGGTTTTTTTTGTACGATGGGGTTCACGCATCAGACATCGTGTAAGTGTCATTACGTCTCCTTTCACCCCAATAGTGCCAAGACTCCATAAGAAGAAGCCCGATTCACCTGTCATCGTTCAAGAGGCCCCTCTCATCGTTCAAGAGGCCACTCCCACCGTTCAAGAGGCCCCTGTCATCGTTCAAGAGGTCCCTCCCACCATTCAAGAGCCCGATTCATGTGGCATACTATGCCGACATATTGATAAACCCCCTCACGTGCTCGACATGATGGATGAGAGTTGGCTTTCGTATGAGTTACCGGCCAGTACCATTCCTCAGCAGGAGAGGAGAACACTACCAGACACAATTCTGGATAATACCCTTTGGGCTAAGATCGCAGTTGATTTTTATCTACATGAGTGGAGCCAGGGGTGCTATGCTGACATATGCCTAATCGACGATATGCATTTGTTTCTTGAGCGGTCTTGGTGGGGTGTTTTTATTAGGGGTTGAAGAAAATGACCTATTTCGAATTGGGGGTAAGTCTTATATTCTTCTTATATTGATTTTGATTATTTTTTTAAAAATTTAGTAAATTCACTAATATATGTATTTTTTTTATAAAACAACATATTGATGCATGGGTGTCACGTCTTCTGATTATAAGGAAATTGAAGAAAATAAAAAATACGCGATGGACTATTATGCCTTCGTCTTTTCATGCAGCTCACTTGAAGGATCAGAGAGACTCTTCATATGTGTTGGGTAATGGAAAAACCCGTCTTTATCCTGCGTGGTGGAAGGTCGATAAAGTTAGTATTTGATGTGCATATTTAAAGGTGTTCATAAATTTTATTTGATGTGTGCAATTGAATTATTATTTATGATTGCAGGTGTTTATCCCTGTTATGGAACATCGTCATTGGCTTCTCGTCGAGCTTCAGCTCCCATCCCTGAAGACGATAGTATATGACAGCATGTTGAATTACATACCATTGTCTGATTTAAAAGATATTATTTGTAAGGGATGGAGCGCTCATTTGGCTAAATACTTGTATGTGATTGATTATTAGACTAATTCTGGAAATAAGAAGCCAAAAAAGTTCAAAGTTACAATGATGAGAGATGAGACAACGCCACAACAAACGGCTGGAGCCAGAGGGGATTGTGGTCCTCTTGTCTGCATGTGCTTGGAACGTTTGACGACAGGAGGTAAATAGTTTCTACCTCCCACAGATAGAGATAGAGGTGCAATAGGGTTGTGGTTTCGTTATTTTATGGCTAGAGTGATATATTCCAGACGTTGCCTACTTGCATCCTCGTGTTGAAAGTGTGCATAAACAACCATTTGTTATTGGTAAGTTTGAGCAAGTGTTGTTAACATATATACTCTTTGTTTGTTTGAAAATGATTGGTTTAAGTACCTAGAATTCAATAATTTGTTGTTTGTTGGTTTTAGATATGTAGAAAGTGTTGTTTGAGCAAATGTTTGGTTTCTACAGGTTAATCCTGAAGTGAGCAGCGTGAATGTATTTAGATGTAAGCTCCTTATTGTTAGGAGCATTTGGATGTACTGTATGGGGTTGTATCAATGTGCAGTTGATTTGTTTTTTTAGATGTGTAAATAAGAATTGTTTTTTTTCTTGTTTAATTGATTTGTAAAATTTGATTTGTTGTTTAAGTCCATCTCTATCTGCATTATGATGAAGGCAAAAAAAGACCTGTTGAAGGTACACTTTCGCAACAATCGCAACACGAATTTGACTTTCGCAACAATCGCAACGTGAATTTGACTTTCGTAATGCGAATTCAAGGAAACCACCTTTAAAAAGATAATAGACAACAATTTGATAAGTGATAACAACTGAACAGATCATAGCAATGTTCAAACTCAAGTTACTAATGCATGTCTAACTAAAAATGTATGCATTCACACATAATACAACGTTTGCATTTAAAAATCACTTAAATTAATAAGTCCCAAAAGGTGAAGCCGGTTGTGATTGGGATTTTTTTTATTGCGATTTTGATTTCCTTTTGCTTGGCACCATATGAGCTTTGGATTTTGATGAGGATCCATATTTTGGTAGAGGAAAAGATGATTGTGATGGCACTGGTGATCCACATGTCAACCTACTATGACCACTTTTCTTGCACCGACTACATGTCGATATCATATTCTCTTCACCCTTAGACGGTATACGATCGTGATTTTTTGGTCGGCCAAGTAGCCTGCTGTCCATGACTGGTGGCAAAATTGTTTGTAAGTCATCTGGTATGTCTCACTCAGAAGAATGTGGAATAGGGTAGACAATCTCGGCATAAGTCTGTCGATATACTTCTGTAGTGTAGCAATCCATAGCGTATGCACTTGAATCATCTTGGTTTAGATGAAGAGCAACTTTTATAACATGACCACACGGATAACCCGATGTTTTTCATTTCATACAACTACACGTATTTGCATTTAGATCGACAAACCCATTTAAGTTATTATCCAATACTTCAAACAAAGTGTTTGAACATATTCAACTCTCCATGATGCTGACTTCACAACACGTTTCGTTATCTTTTTTTCAGTCCATGGTGTAACACGACGTTCCAATATTCCTGTAAATTTAAATAAATAATACTTAGTAAAATATATAAATATGATAAGTTACAAATTTAAAGAAATAATACATGCATGGTTTCTTTTCTTGTAGTATCACTGTTGAATAGAGGCTCGAAAAAACTCCATTAATTTTCGGGAATGACGACTTAGAGCGTTGATTGATTCTGCACTATTAGACGTCATAAAACCATGCATTGCTCTAAGTTAATGTACTCTTGACCATCTTTCAAACCCGACATCTTCTAGTGTTTGAGCACATTGAGGCAAAACACGCCTTAAACAATTTATATGCTTATTAAAATCCACTTCCCGATAAGCTTTTACAACCTTCCAATATATTCATTTGTGATTTTTTATACCAGCAGACCTTGATTTTAGATTTCTGTACAAATGAACACCACAAAGTCCATGAAAAGCATCTGGGAAACACCTTCTAACAACGTTGTCAATTGAGTTTGCTCTATCGAATATGATTGTCAGATTGCTGATATGACCTATGTAAACCCTAAGATACCCCATAAACCATGTCCATGAATCAGAGGTTTCAGATTTGCCAACCCCATAAGCTATTGGTAGTACCACATTATTAGCATCCATGGCTACTGCTTATAAGTTTACTCCAAGGTATCGACCTTTCAAATGTGCTTCTTCAACTATAATAATTGGGCCCATGCAAGTAATAAACGAATGAATCTACAAAATAATATACATAATAAATATAATCATTTAAATGTGAAATGCATATAACTAACAAAATTATATTGATTTACTAACCGCAGCACCAATGGCGATAAATAGCAACTCAAAGCATCCATCTCTATCTGTTTTGATATGAGTTACCAACCCAGGATTTTTTAGCTTTAAATTATGACAATAAGCCGACAGTTGGGCAAACGATGCTTCTGGGGACCCCCTCAACAATTCCAAGGCATAACATTTGGCTCTCCAAGCTTAAGAATATGAGATACTAATCTTGAACCGAGCATTCATGTCAGTCATAATTTCATATCCCCGATATACCCTGCCATTCAAAAACATTAACTCAGCCAGAAAACTACCCAATACCTTTTTGTTTGTCTGTCTATGGTGAGGAAAAACTTGGGTTCTTGAACATGTATGTTTATCAATAAAAGTCCGAACTTGAAACATTTCACAATCTTTTATCATCTTTGCAATCATACGTCACGTACAGTTTTTATCAATCATACACTTTGTTTCAAAACGATCTTTGCTTGATTTGTTAACTTTTAGTTGATAGCCATCTTCCAGACATTTTTTATACAAAGCTATCTTCAAGTCTTCCTTTGTATCAAAACAATCATCTTTCTTTATACAAATAACTTTTATGTAACAATCAACTGCTATCTTTACCAACTCTTCTTCCGGTATCTGAAGTAATTCTGGCATATTTCAGTTATACTCCCGTGACATTTTCTTCTTTTTCTTTTCTTCGGGGACTTATTCTTCTTTTTTTTTATTTTTCAGGGTTATATAAATTACAGAATGGATGTTCAACATGTTCATTCACAGTCGTAACTTCCTCCTCATTATTATCAATAATATCTTCCTCGGCAGCGGCTGTTTCATCATCAAAATTCTGGTATTGACCAATATCAAAATTATTACACGCAGGGTCTGTTTCTTCTTCTGAAACGTCTTCAAAATCTGAGTATTGACCAAGATCAAAGTTCGGGTATTGGCCAAGATCAAATTTCGAATACTGACTAGTACTCACAATTTTTTCTGTTGGCTCGTAATCGTCTAACTGATCAATACGAAAATCGAAATTTGGTGCTGAAAGTTTATTGGGATTTGGATTAGGAAAAGGTTGTGGGTTTTGAGATTGTATTTGGTATTGGAAATGTGGTGAAACAAAATTTTCTTGGTGATGAAATTGTGGTGGAACCATTAAATTTTGAGGTTCATAACAACGTTGTACATTGTGAGCACCATAAACTGGGGTTGAAGAACTTAGTTGATTACTACCCGCTACTGACCCAACTTCACTATTTCTAGGTTCAACAACATACAATGTAACATCATCTTCTTGCGAAACACTAATGTAAGCAATGAATCGTTTAACATCTTCATTGTCGGTTAACAAATAAACTTTACATTTTCTCTGATAAGATAGCCTAAATCCACTTAGAGGCTCTAAATTAAATTTCTTTGCAACACGTAATATTAGAGTTTCATAAGTTAACTTTTTTAATGACAGTTTTAGTTGAAGATTCATGGGTAAAGGCATATATTGTAAAACACCATGAATATTCTTCCATGACCCTCCAAAACACAAATCTATCCAAACATGATCAACATTAGATGGTTTTATTCTACAAATTGTAAATTAATTTACTAAACAAACGAGCTATAAACTACATATCATATCACTAACTTAGAGAAAAACATATCTTTATTAAGTTGATAGTTGATAATTTGGGAGAGAAATCATTGAAAAATTATATAGAAATAAAATTATGCAAAAAAAAATAGAGATGGGGAAGGATATCGTTGGATATAAGAACGGATATCTCTGGAGAGAGTGATAGATGGAGATGGAATGAGTTGAGATTTAGGGATTTAGGTTATGAGTTGTCGTTGCTGCGTAGTTATATATCCAAAACATTTGTGTTGCGAAAATAAAACCTAATGCGAAATTAAAATTCAGGTTGCGAATTCGAAAATCGAGTTGTGAAAACAAAATTCGCGTTGTGAATTCAGAAATCGAGATGCGAATTTGAAATTCAGTTTTACGAATTTGGAAAATCACGTTGCGAATTTGGAAACTGTGTTGCGAAATTGGAGTTCGTGTTGCGAATTTGTTGGTCATTTTCGCAAATCCAAAAAAAGTTTGTTAAAATCGTATATTATAAGGCATTTTCGGTCACTGAAGTTATTCTCTCTTAATATTATCACGTTCACTCTACCACAACTACAAATTTGAAGAGGAATTATATAAATTACTTTTATTTTTGTGTCGTATTCTTCATTGGAAATTTGATTAATATTTCTAGTGGCTTAAAAAAGATAAATTATGTATTTAGTACTTAAATTATCAGTTTTAGTATGTTTTAGTACTTAAAATTTTAATTTATTTAAAATCATATTTAACGTTTAGTTTTTGTTTCGTTTTAGTATGATTTGCACATGATATATTTTTATAGGTAAATTGCATCATTCATCACTCAACTATGTTCTTAATCTTATTTTGGTCACTAAACTTTTGTTTTTTTAATTTAATTACTTAACTTTCAAATTACTCCTAATTTAATCACTCTAACTTTCAAAAAAATTATTTTTAATTATATATTAATAAAATAATAATAATAATGTCACATCAAAAAAATATTAATAAAATAAATTAGAGTGATTAAATAGGAGCAATTTGAAAGTTGAGTAGTTATATTGAATTTGTTTAAAATTTTAGTACCAAAATAGGTGTGAGATGATATGTAAGTGATGAATGATGTAATTTACCCATAAAAATATAGTGCTTTTAAGTTTTTAATGACGATGTATTAAAATGAAACAAAATGTAAACATTAGGTATGATTTTTAAAAAATTAAAAGTTTAAGTACTAAAATATATCAAAATTGATAGTTTAATTACAAAACAAGTAATTTACTAAAAATATTGTCAATTACAAGTAATGATTGTTAAAGGCGTGCAGAGTGTGAAATAAACCAGCTACATAACAGTTGCCTTTAGAGGGCGGAATCATATATCCACTTTTAGTTTAGAAGCATTCCCATCAAGAGACAAATAAGTATTGTCAACAATGTTTTTCCCTCCTTACATTCCTTAGAATCTCATTCCCTTGCATATCTTATGTATTTAACAATTCCCGTCGAATAAGACAGAAATACCCTTAAAATAAAAGAAATAGTTCAAAACTTCCCTTTTTTTCTGATAAATCCCCAGTTTTACATTTTACTTTCTCTTCTTTCAAAACTACCCTTAAAATAACATAGCCCTTTTTCAACAATTAAGCAACCTATTTTATGGTTGTCATTTTAAGTTGCATCACATTTTAGGTTGCAACTCCTTTTTACATTTCAACCCTTTTTTTTATCGTGATGGGTTTCGACATAGTGGGACTCACACCCAACAATAAGTTTATAAATATTGTATAGATTTTCTTTATTATATTTTTTTATTAATTTTGTCAAATAATTTGATATGATATTTTGTACTACTCATACATGTAGGATAAAATATAATAAAAAAATGTAGCAATTAACACATACTTATACCGGTGTAATAAAAAAATATATAATAAATTATTTGTATATAAATTTTATTAAAAATATATATAAATTAGAAATAATAAAAAGTATATTTTCTATGAAATTTCATTTGTTAAAAAAGAAAATTATCTCAAGATAATTTGGTAAAATATATATTTTTCTTTATCTTATATTCATTCTTCCAAACATTGTAATCTTATATTTCTGTCAAATAAATCAAACAAGATAATATGATATTCCGAATAATGTGTTAAGTAATGTAATATTCTGATAATCTTATTTTCAATGATAATATTACATTTCGTGAATCAAGCGCATCCTTAGTTACGTTTTTCGAAATTGGAGCGGTCATAATTAACGTCAGGGCTTCAGCTATTTGTTGGATTTCCTAGTCAATTTCATCATATATTCCACTAACAATTTGATTCATTCCCTATTATTAGTTAACCGTGTTATCGACAACTAGCGTGCATAAAATGCAACATTTTTCTTTTCTGATCAAAGCAGTGTGGTTTTGAAGATAAGATCCAACAAAGAATTGTGGCTCAATAATTTCAATGTTTGTATGTGAACAGATACTCTAATTGGCTTCAACATGTTGACATGAATTAATCACAACCATTGATATTTAGTTGGTCGCATGCGCCTGCACACTTTATCCATTCTAGCAGGGCTAGGAAGTTGGAAGGCTCAATGGTTGTAGCCTGATCAATCACCATCTGAGTGCACTAATTAAAAGCACACAGATGATACGACTTAGTCTGCTAAGCTGGTGAGGGTATTGGCCCAAGAGATAAGCTAGAGAGGGATGGGAATCTCCATCTAGCTTTAGTGGGAATTCACGAGCTCTGTCGATATAATGCACATGCAAGTTCAAACAGACAGGGAAAAGGAAAGTGGTTAGACGTCAGCCTAACCGATAACATGTTGAATTTTTTGAAAACTGACTCGATATCCACTCTTTTGAAATGTATAAAATAAACACATGATGTAGGGGTTCTGAAGAAAAGATTTGGTGATCCAATGACAAAAAATGTGGTGGTCAAACTACGATTCTGTGAAGCAATAGTAATGGATAAGGTCACTTCAAACTACTACTGCTGCGTCTTTTAATCCCTCTAGTTCTTTATTACAACCTTGAAACAAAAGCTTCGCCTTTTTTTGACCAAGCAAAGGCTGCTCTACTACCATTTGAGAAAGTTGATTAGATAACGGGCTTAAAAATCTAACAACAGCAAAGGTGACTTTTACGATAATATAGAATATTGCATTTTAGCTTCAGCAGCTATTTTTGGTTAAATATATTTCATAAAAAAACTAGAGTTTTTTTTATTGTTGAAAAATTGGGTAAAAAAAACGAAAGAACACAAGAATTTTAACGAGGTTCAGCAATGTGCTTACGTCCTCGGTGCCTAGGCGGCGCTAGAAGTTTTAGTCAATGTCTCATAGGTTTAGGTTACATCTCTATTTATAATAGATAAACTTGGTACATAATTACAAAATTTGAGCCATACCTAACAGTTATAGTTTAGGTTAATTTGATGCAACGTTAATATAAATCATAAAATTTTATTCGGACATAATTTAAGAAACAGAAGAAACACAACTTAAATGTTGTCCCCAAGTTATTACACATAGTATAATGCATTTCGACTAATTTGATGCACCGTTAATAAATCATATAATTTTCTTTCAAAATTAATGTTTAAACTTGGTAACTTGGGGACAATGTTTAAACCATTTAGCAGATAATATGTGTCGGAACCGTCTTTCGGTTGGATCCGGAATTGGGCTTCGACTTGAATAATTGGGTTAGAGTCGCCTCCGACAATTTTAAAACGAATTTAGGTGGGTCGGACACCATCTTACTTGATCTGCGTTTCACCAGAAACGTGTCGGGTTCGGGAGTCGGTTACGGTCGAGGAAGGATTAGCACCCTTGAACCGCCCTTTCGGTACCAATTAATTTATCGGTTGTTTTAATTGCGAAAATTTGAAATTTAAATTAAAATTTAAAACATTCGATTCGAATTGTTTACCTTTGATCGGTTGGACTTTATCTAAAAAGAGATCGTTAGACAAAAAATGAATTAATAAATGAACAGATAAGAAATAAAACATATAAATATTAAATCAAGAGAGAAAAAAATAAAAAATATATATATAAAAAAATAATAATGAAAATAAATCAAAAAAAATAATAAATAAAAATTAAATAAAGCAAAAAACAAGAAAAGTGAGAGAAAGAAAAAGTCAAAGGAAAATAATAAAAAAAAGAAAAAAAATCAAAGAAAAGAAAAAATAAAAAATAAAAAATATTAAAAAATATTAAAAAATGTTATAATTTAAAAAGTAATAAAAAAAAGAAAAAAATCAAAAATAAAATAAAGTAACAACTTAGAGGATCAAATTGAGACAAATTGAAATTAATGGATTAGATTGATATTAAAATGAACTGCAAAAGAAAAAAAAAAGTTAGGTGCCAATTCCCAAAATATAAAAAAAAATATAAGCATGGACTAAATTGATTAAATTGGAAATATGGAGGTAAATTTACAGATGGTGACCAAATTAAAATGCGACTTAAATGTTCAGGGACGACGGAAAGGATTTAAAAATCCTTTATTTGCACTATGGCCCATTGTATATAAATGGGTCAAAACACCTCTTCCCCTCTCATTTCCCCTATTCTTCACTCACTCTTCTTCTTCACTAAACGAGAGAAGCTCCCAATCTCTCTCCCTTTGCAATTTTCGGCCACCGCTCCGGTGGCCTCTCGCTGCTCTGACCGCTGCGGCGGTCGGGAAAAACTAAACTAACCTGAAATGACCCCCTCGACCCCGCCTGCGTAGATCTAGGGAACAACCTTCGATTTTTACCTTTTTTGGCGACCGTTCGATATCTCGGTTGCTCCTTCTGCTCCGAGGCTTTGGTTGTTTACTGTTCTTTAATCTTTTTGCATGTGTGTTTTGAAATGGTTTGGTTCACTATTTTTTTTTTGTTGTTCGGTGTGGTTTTGTGGTTTTGATGATGGTTATGTGCTTGTGTACGATGGATCTTTGGTGGTTTTTATTGATCGATGTTGTGGTACTGACTGTTGTTCTTGGTGTTCTGTTGGCCGATGATGGTTTCTGGTGGGTTTTCTCCCTCTGTTGATGTTCTCGTGTGTATTCCTTGATGTCACCGTGGTGGGGTATTTATACCCACCCCACCGGTGGCTTGCTTCGATGATAACGGGGTTGTTCCCGTGTACTTTGTGCTAATCGTTGTTCACGTAGTCGGGAATCCCGGGATGGTGCAGTCCCGATTTTCCCGGTCGACCGGTGCACCGTTTGGCCCCCTGTGCGGTGCTGTTGATATGTTAGGGTTGCCAAACCCTAAACTCCCACGGGCTGGATCAGACCTGTTATTTAGACTATTGTTGGACCCTAAACAAAACATAAAAAGAAATTGATAAAAAGGAAATAAATAATAATAATAATAATAATAATAATAATAATATAATATATATATTTCAAAAATATATTTTTAAACTATATATTATATTTTAAAAAGTTTTCAAAACTATATATTATATAGTTTTCAAAATGTTTTAAAAATATTATAGAAGTTTTCAAAAAATGTTTTTAAAATTATATATTATATAATTTTTCAAAAATGTTTTTAAAATTATATATTATATAATTTTTCAAAAATATTTTTAAAACTATACATTATATAATTTTTTAAAAATGTTTTAAAAAACTATATACTATATAAGTTTTCAAAATATTTTAAAACTTATATAATATATAAATGTTTTCAAAATGTTTTCAAAAACTATATATTATATATATTTTAAAAATGTTTTCAAAAATTATATAATATATAAATTTTTAAAAATCATTTTCTAAAAATTATATATTATATTTTATCAAAAATATTTTCACAAATTATATTATTATATATATATATATATAAAATAATTCCGGACGAAATTGAATGTATCTCATATGAAAAGTCGAGAAACAAAAGGGGAAAGGCCAAAACCTATTTGCTTTCAGAGGGGTCTTCAGAATCAAATATAGGCTTCTATAGGATGACGCAAATCTTTTTCTAAAGTAATAGAAAGGCGAGACCGAGAGGAAAAAGGACATGACGGGGAAAATAAGTTTAAGTAATTATCCAAAATGGTACTTTACACGACCGATAACATGTCAAATGACACTCAAAGTCACATATGTAGATTCTTTATATATTCTCATGCTCTCTGGTTGTGACTTGACTTGAGCGAGTAATTCCTTTAAAGACAAGTTGCAAGGCTAGCTAGCTAACTAATTAAGGAAGTACACTAGCTCTAACATGTCATAAAAATGTTAGTTGGTGATAAAGCTTGATCATGGGTTTGTCGAGTTGAGGGATTGCTTACTTTCCCTCTGGTTATGAGAACATGGAAATTAGGTTAGCTGCAGAAATATTTGAACATGCAATATAGACATCCCACTTTTGCATGTCATTACGTTTATGACAAAGAGGATAAAAACAATTATAGGGTTAGCGGTGAATGCCCAACCGCTTGTTTAGGTAAAATACAGGAATAATATCCTAGTTAATATCGGCCACAAAAAAGGATAAGGTTCTTTCAGGACCACGAGAAGCCGACTTTGGAAGTGAAGATGTACTTATTCTGACTGTGCAATGCTCTCAATCGATAACCATTGAGCAAAAGTGCTTAATATTTGTTAATATATATATACGCGCACACACACATATTTCCTTGTTCTGATTTCTTAACGGTTAATCTTCATTAATTAATTTGCAAGCAACTTATTCCAGGATGTACTGATTTTAGATCATATACCTATAACATTTTAATCGCAATAGAAGTATTGGCACGAACAGATTTTGATAATATTTATTCTGCACTGTTGTGTGGGTGTAAATGGTATGAACTTTTGAACATGCAACGTAGGTGTTTTCACTTTAGCAAAACATCGGCATGTACTCTAATGATTCAAACCCTACTTTGGTGGCTGTTGCAGGCGCTGAAAAGAATCAAGGTGATGATGAATGACGGTGCGGGCGAGCAGTGGAGAGCTAACAATGATTCTAACTTCTAAGGTCCCACTTGCAAATTCCTTTAAGTGCAAATACGTATATATCGTCGTGGATTAGCATTAGCATTAGCATTAGCATCAGCAAAGTCTTTTACTCTAATTGCTAACGGGTTTTTTTTACGGGTAAAGTAGGGCACTCCACTTTTTATTTTAGAAAATACGGTATTTTTTTTTATGGTGTCAGTTAAAATTTCAGGGTGAGCACACATATATTAATTAATGAAGAAAACTTCGAGTTTAAAAGAAAAAAATTGAATCAAAGGAAATTTTAGGGTGGGCATGTATATAATTTTTTAATAGATCCGGATGAATGGACCACATATGGGTAGGGGTGTTCATTCGGTTAAAACGGTGGACGACCGAACCGAATTACCCTTAACCGAATTAATCGAACTTTTTTTTTTAACCGTTAACTGAACCGAACTTTTTTTTAAAAGTATTAACCGAACCGAATAAATTTCAGTTAATACGATTAATTTTCGACTTAACCGGATTTTTTTTAGAATTTTAGAATTTAATATTTTTTTTAATTAAAAAAATTACAATTAATTTAAATAATATCTAATTAATTTGATTAAAACATTTGCATTTAATATTTTAATTAATTTGAATCAAATATTTAATTAATTTAAATAATATCTAATTATTTTGATTTGAATCAGTGTAGTTTCCTGTTAGTATTTGATCTGCAACAAATCTATTCGCCGCTTCAGTGTAATGAGTACCATCCCAGTTTATGTGCTCAGCTGTATTGTTACATGGATTTGCCGTCACAATGGTCACGTTCAGATCCTTAGTCACACCGCAGGGTACCCAGTTGTCAAAATTCAACGGTGCTCCGCCATAGCCACAACATGCTGCTATTGGTTTATGGAATCCTGAGAGTGAAATCCGATTCGATTCGAATAAACTAGACGATGAACATGAAGAATGATTTTTAAGTATTAGGCTTGCTTACCGTATAGGGAAGAGTTTGAAATAAGGTTTAGCTTTATCGAGTATATGTCGACGTATGTTATGTTGGCTTCGGGAGATTGTGCCAAGAACTGAAGGCAGATATCTCTGAGTTTCTGGTTGAAAATGGTGGCAGCTCTGTTGTGCAAGACAATGCAGCCATGTTCATCGATGTTGGACGGGTCTTTTCCGAATGTAGCGATAATTCTGGGCAAGCATCCGAGGGGGCCTGTGTTGTGAACCCAGAAATTCCTTGCGCCTGCATCATATAGTTTCTGTAAAGGGGGGAAGCATAAAATAGCAGGAAGCCAACAAATGCGTAGCCCCATGCTGCTGCCTCACCCATGTTCCGCTATATACTTTTGCCCATGCTCCACTTGTTCATCTCGTGCCCATACCGAACACAAATCAAGGCATAAAAGAATTAATAACCGAAGAGCACATAAAGAAAGTGGGGACAGCATATTATGGGGTGGAAAAATATTAAAAAATATTTAAGGATTAATTCAATTAATTAACTGATTTTGAATCGAATTAACCATTAACCGAATATCTAAAAAATCATTAACCGTGAACCGACCGAACTAATTTGGTGGCCGACCGAATTAACCGAACTAATTCGGTTCGGTCAGTTAATTCGGTTAATTCGAAGAAATGAACACCCCTACATGCGGGACATTAATTTATTGTAATTAATAGAACTCGTCACCTCTCACCACCACCAATTCATTTAAAAAAATATTTTTAAAAATTATAAACATAATTTAAATTTTAAACATTAAAAAAAGTGACGAGTTCCTTCTAATTCAAAAAATGTAGTCGTTTATAGTCGCTGATCAACGGGCAACACCAACAAATACTTGGGCAACAATCATCATGGAACTCGTCACAACTGGATTAAGTTTTAAAAAATTAATTACAAAGTAAATTAATAATTGTATTAGAAAAATAAATTGTTTCTTACAAATAAAATTTATTTATATTTTTTATGTTCTTGAATATGCTGAAGAGTGGTCAAATGATAATGGCGTGAGGCTTGTCGAGTACGCTAAGGTCATCAGCCTTGATCGTTGTTGTCGCCGTCGTCGTGTTCAACTTTGTTTCGTTGTTTAAAAGGAGGTGTACTTATCACATTCTGAGATTCATCTTCAAAAATAAAATTATTTTGAGTATTTATTATTTGAGGTGAAAAGTTTGAAAAATGACTTACGAAAAATCAGACCGTAAGTCATTTTCCAGAAAACACAAAGGAAATTTTGTTTACCAGAAAAATGTTTTACGTTGATCAACCAGTTTTCTTCCAACCAAACACTGTAAAATGATAAAAACATTTTCCGAAAAATGTTTTACGTGAAACAAACAAACCCTAAGATGTGAAAAACATAACATGTTTACTAACTATTTATAGGAGATTTTCAAGAGATTTAATCTAACCAAATATCTTTTAATATTCGACATTAAACAGATATCAATATCTTTTAATTTAAAATATTCAAAAGATAAAACTTCTTTTACCATTCAAACTTAAATATGTATTATTTTAATTTCAAATATACAAAAATATATAATTATCTTTAATATTCAAATTAAAAAAAGTAATAAATATCTTTTTAAATTGACATATTCAAAGAATAATTATCTTACTAATATTCAAATTAAATAATATATTTAATTTACGATGGTCAAAAGGTAAATTCTTGTTACTATTCAAGCTTAATAAGATATTATTTTAATTTGAAATATACAAAAGTACATAACTATATTTTAATATTCAAAATTAAAAAGATAAGAAATACTTTTTTAAATTAACTTATTAAAAGAGTAATTATCTTACTAATATTTAAATTAAAAATTATCTTTTTAAATTGCAGTAGCCAAAGGACTATGAATTTAAATTCATCAATTAAATTCACCTATTTTTTTTACACAGTGCGTTTATCTTGTGGCATATACTTCTTTTCTCATGCTGTAATTTTATTTTATAGAGTCAAAAAACTGCAAGCAGTGCGGCCCCAACAACAACAGGACGAGAAATACAACATATGGATCCATTACGGGGTCATCGAGACAAGTTCCAACAGACGAAAATAGTTCATGGTTACCAAGTTTTCTTACAGGAGAACCCTACAGGACTCTTTCTTCCGACGTTTTCCACACCACATTGTTGGCTTCAGCGATTTCTTTTATATGCCTCTTTAGATTCCATTCATAATCTCACCGATCTTCAAACGCAACACAGCTTATTAATTGACTTCCTAAATGGAAATTTTATTCGGGATTCTTCTGCTTTATGGGGATTGGGGAGCACTGCTGTTGAAGATCAGATTGTAAACGCCCGAATTTTGTTTTTTCTTCGTAACTTAGTTTTGGAAGAGTTGTAGACCAAAAGCAACAGATTAAAAAAAAAGGGAAGATCTTTAATCATTATTTTTAATTGATCAAGACTGCATTTGAAGTGTCAGTTTACTGTGAATCTGAGCGACCTGGTTGGGTTGTTGATAAAGGAAGCCCCCTCCCCTTTGCTGGAATTGCAAGCCTGGTAGTTCGACTATTTATGTTAGCCGCAATGTAGTTTTGCAATTGTGGTGACAATGGAAATGTCCATTTTTTTCATTTAAAATATAACCTCATATAGTTTTGATACTACTTTCTATATTATATTTATATTCAAAGTTGTACATTTGTAGAACATATTAATGTATTAGCAATTCAAAAATATAGATTAATTTTAAAACATTGATGCAATGACATCTTGTTTGTATTTCTTTTTGTCTATTTTATATTTATTATCCCCTCTCGTCTGGTAAAAGTGCAAAAACTTGATTAAAAATATAGACTTGCTTTTTATTTATATGGAGGGAAGGTTCTTGTATTTAACAGGTAACGATTAGATGTAATCGGTTATTGTAGTAATGCCTTGCATGCTTCACGAGAGGAGCCCCACATATTTTAGGCCAATAAGACAAAATGGTTCCCTTTTAAGCTCTCTTTTGGTAGCGCTGCTATTATTATTCGTACAAGCAAATTTGTCATTCACAAATTGCAATATACTAAACATGTTGAATATTCTTCGTCAAAAGCTCCAGTACCGTATTAAATGTTAATATCTTTTCCCCAATAATTTTTGTTTTTAAGTTCTTTTTGATAAATAATTTTGCTTATTATATTTAGGATCATTAGCCCGTGCCAGTTGACATTTGATCAAACGAAGTTAATAAGAAACATCCATCACTACTAATAGTGAAAACAAAGCTTTTCCATGCATTAGCAGAAATGAAAAGTGCACACAGCTTAATTAATTTCAGCACCTCAACAACCACTTGGATGCTAATGACAAAATTCCTGGCAACTACTGTAACATTTCAACTCCGCTGTCTAATGTTTTCTTTTAGTTTCAAACTTAGATAATGCATGATTACTAAGGGTAAAACTCAACAACGCTGTATCCCAAGGCTTCACAATCTACAACTCATCCTTCAGATCAGAAGGCTCTGCATTTGCATCATCTTTAGCAATTTCAGCTTCACCCTTCGCACCACCTGCATCTTCTGTCTCAGTTTCTTCTACATCATCTTCCTCCTCTACTGTTGCATCAGGACTGATATCTAGGCTAGATCTAACTGAGCTGTAGATGCGTGAGGCGAATTCCTTGGGGTCCGGTAGATTGAAGCCACTCTCCATCAAAGCCGTCTGGTAGATAAGCTGAGCTGTTTGCTTGACACCCTCATCCTGAAGATCCAGCAAATGGTTTCATCAAAAAAAAAAGAGCAGAAGAATAATATACCGATTACTACATTTTAGTTAATGACTAATAAGTGAATGCAGAGAGAGAGAAATCATCCCGGTTTCGGATTCACCAGTGTGAGCATCATTTTGTGGCACATACAACCACCACTTAATGATGAATTGTTTCTACATACAAACGACATATTCATGCTAGATCATTATAATGCTTGGAACAAGATTTTGAAAGGAAAATTATTCATACAAACTACATATGCATGTTTACTCTTGAATATGAACGTACCTCAGGGTCCTTAACAACTCTCTCACGAAGCTCCTTGATGATCGGGTGCCTTGGGTTGATCTCAAGTACCCTCTTGCCACGCATGTATGCTTGCTTGCTAGCATCTGATAGGGTTTGAGATTGCATGATCCTCTCCATATTAGCGCTCCATCCAAACTTCGATGTAACAACTACACAAGGAGTGTTGTCCAAACGGTTGCTAATTTTCACCTCATCAACATTCTCTCCTTCAAGTGCACCCTTCCACCATTTGGTAAGTTCCTTAAATGACTCCTTGAGTTCTTTGTTCTTAGGGTCTTTTCCAATTTTTAGGCCTTCCTTGGATACATTTTGGAATTGTTTTCCATCATAATCCATCAGGTACTGCATCAGGTATTCATCAACAGGGTCTGTGAAGAAAATAACCTGGAAGCAAACAAAGGCCATTAAAAACAAACGGAAATAAAACACACACATAGATCAGGAGGAATAAAATAAGTAGAAGAAAGATGTGAAACAAGGTTTAAAACTCCAGTTAACAGCAAATGTTTTTGCAATACCTCATAATTTTTCTTCTTGAGCCTCTCCAAGAATGGAGATTTTTCCAACTGCTCCTTGCTGGTTCCTGTAATGTAGAAGATATCCTTCTGTCCCGATTTCATTCTTGAGATGTACTGATCTAGTGAAGTCAATTTACCATCTGATTTGGTGCTGCATGGAAATTTTTACTAATATTTAGTCATGACTGGTAATGAGGGTAGAGTCATTTTCAAAGAAACTAAAGATTGCCACAGAACTATATACGAAGGGTTAAAACACATATAAGATCAGATACCTCTCAAACCGTAGGAGTTTTGCCAAGCGGTTTCTGTTGGTTGCATCCTCAATGATACCAAGTTTAATGGATTTTCCAAATTCATTCCAAAACTTGGTATATTGACCTTTTTTCTCATCATCATCACCAGATTTTTCAACTTCTGCATAATACCATATTCAGTACAATCAGTAACACATATATAAAGGTTATAACCCAAGATGAAAGAGTTTCATTTTGAAAGGCTGAACTGTTTGTAAATTATTTTCAAAGAACTAAAAGCAATCATAACATGCCTTTATCATCTTTGCCACTGGACTCATCAGGATCCTCCTCAGCTATTTTACGAATCATATCAAGGGCTTTCCTAATGAGTTTCTTCTTGATTGTTTTCAAACTGCTGTGGGCTTGCAACATCTCTCTTGAAACATTGAGTGGCAGTGTATCAGAATCAACAAGACCCTGCTCAACAGGTTATCCACAAAAGGAGAAAAAAAAACAATCAGGTT